GCATTCTGGATATTTAAAATAAAGACAAGTTTTACAAAGTTTGTATAATAAGCTTTCAGAAAAATATATAACATGTTGGATATATAATACCATTTTCATTGTCTAATTACTCAATTAAAAAAGCAAGCCAAATAAACTGCATCTCTACCTTAAATGTATCCTATTAATTCAAGGTGATCAAAATAGGATTTAAATTTCTTATCAACTGACCTGGAAGTGCGGACTTGACACGCATCTAGCTATTTGTTTAAACAAAGCTTCTTGAATCTTTACAAATTGTGAAGGTTCAATCACATCCAAAATTTCTTCTATTTCACCAAGAAACATGACCTGTAACGCAACAACACGTGTCAGCAATAAACACAAACAGAAAGTACATGCAATGACTGTTCAACAGTGTTCTATGTTGATCATGAACAAAACTACATCCAGCGTATCCCGTTTTGTGTACACCTTTTCACTCATGTAAGGAAAAAAAAAAATTTGGTGTGAAAAAATTAGATCGGTTACGAAGAGTCGTAAAAATGTAACCAGCATAACTAATACTTACCTGGTAAGTATTTTCAAAGTTCATGCTCACAATATGTAGGGATAATAATGGTGTATGGAATTTAACAACACTGCTTCTGTTATTCAACACAGTATTTATTAACTGCCCTCAGAAGTAATTTATTAAAAGAAGAATCAAATCGGCCACAATCTAACAGGAAATAATTATGCTTGCACTGAGATGACAAAGCAAACACTTGCATAGATATGGGGATAAAGGTCAACTCACAAGAAGGTTCATATAATTGTTCAGCAACTGACATTCACATTACATCTTGAAATAATTGCTGCTTCACTACATGCTTTAAGGGTCTGTTCATTACAGGGTAACGATGTGTGAAATATTACCCTTTTGGGGCTTTCCTCCCCTAAAATACTTACGACTTTGATAACCAAAATTTGAGCGAAATGTAAAACAAAATAGGCCTGAGGGAGTTTTGACAACTATAAATCATTTATCAATGTGTACATCCATCCAAATCAAACAGAAAAAAAAAAACGCAACCATTCAAAATAAAATCACTTATAATATGTGACTTGGTGATTCATCATATAAAATGAAAGCTACCCAATTGATATATTAATACTATCATAGAATAAATACTTTTCAGTTGACATAGAATAGCTAGGGAAATCTAACTAATCATTCAGTTAATCCACCATTACCGAAGAGTCATTTTCCATTCTATCTGTTCATTTTATTACAGAGAATGTTTAATTTTAATGTTTAAATAGTGAAAATCACACTAAATGAAAGCAAATGAAGGACATTCAAGTCATTTATATTCCATCTAACTGGACATCATCACATCACATGCAACACCAAATATTAAACCATTTCAATAGTACAAGTCTTTGTACAAACTTACCTCTTTCTGACTACATGTTTTAGGCCAGAATTTGAGTAAGCCTTTGACAACCTAGAAGAAATCACAGATTCTAACTGATCAGCACCCACCCTTGCAATATTATAGTTAAAACTACACACAGACTACTAGTATAAATGTATGGCAGGCATGCATGCATGCAGGCAGATAAAATGATATGTTGTTGGTAGCAGCTCATGAACTTAGTGAAAAAACAAAAACAATAGTACTGATAATATAACAATTCTACAACTGTTACAGGAGATAAAAAGATTAGCAACAAAACACAAATCACTGCACACAATGGTAACAATGTGGTCAAATTAAACATTAACTGTGAGTGAAAATAGTGCCATGACGAAAAGCGGACATACCCTGGAATTTAATAATACTGAGTTATGCAAAAAAATAATTCTTATCAGTTTGTCAAAACCTGCATGAAGACAAATAGTTTATCACGGAAAGATGTCAATGACATTATTAGACCTCTCCATCAACTTATCTTAACAAACGTCACCTGATTTTACTTCATGAATTGGAGTCAGCCAAAAAAAACAGGCGGTATTACAATCCAATAGCAATGAGGTCAAAAAATGTAATTGTTTTCAAGCAGGCAATGAAAAATGTAAGGTTCGCACTAAAAAAAACACCTGCTAAACCGGAGGGGGGGAAAAAAGACATGATCAACCAGCGACATGCATCTAAATCACTTACTGGTTCCGTTAGCGTAGCATCCTTTTCTAGAAACTGTACAACACAGTACGCCAGCTGGAAGAAAAGAATGTTTTTCAAATAACATTCTGTAGTGTAGACATGGATCATAATAAATGAAACAGTCGATGACTGACATACAAACATAGAAACAAAATACAGTTCAAGAACTTTTTTTTTTTATAATAACCATCATAAAAGTTTCTTGATTGTTGACAGCTATGTACAGGAAATACACGTACATGCTTTACTATCAGATAGCATTAAATGTAGACGATGAAATCTTCACTCCCCAAATAGTCAAATCATACACATCTTGTATAAATATGCAACACCCCAATCCTAATTGTTCTCTAATATCACGACTATAAATAAACCTGAGTGACGCAGTTTTGAGCACCAGACTCTCGCCTGAAAGGTTAATAGCTAAGATAAGAGAAAGTGGCATGGAGGAATAAGATTGAAAGCTGTCACACTAGGGGAGGGGACAAATAAAATTAAATCTTGGTTGTTTGTGCAGTTTTTCTACATTTATCAGTAATTTTGGGGGCAAAATTTCTTAAAATACCGGTAGAAATCGTAAGATGGTTTCCCATGTGTATATCATGAAGACAGTTATGTAGAACCTGTCAAATGACTATTGGACTTGCAGATTATGTATACTTGTCAACCAGGATTGTTTGCAGTAGATCTTGTGAGAAACAGGAAGACATCTATCAATAAATCAAGTAATCAGGCTACTGATTCTTACCTGGGCATGGTATAAACTGAGACACTTCACCTTGTGTAGCGGTATCAGAACTTTAATTAAGAACTGTTTGTGTTCTGCCTTTAAAGGCAATGCAAAACCATTAATGATACTGAAAATAATAATAATTGTATGAAAGGAAAATACATATCAGGTTATGATGCCAAGGGAAGGAAAACATAATATGAGGGAGGTAGGTAAGGAGTAACATGGATAGAACAGAATATGACACTTCAGGTAGCAGACATGCTGTAGACGCAAAATGAGAAGGAAATGATATGAGGGAGGGAGGGAGGGAGGGAGGGTTGATAGAACAGAATATGACACTTCTGTAGCAGACATGCTGTAGACGCAAAATGAGAAGATGATATGAGGGAGTGAGGCGAGATGGAAAAAACAGAATATGACACTTCTGTAGCAGATGTGCAGTAGACGTAATTAGAAGAAAATGATGGGAGGGAGGGAGGGAGGGAGGAAGGGTCGATAGAACAGAATATGACACTTCTGTAGCAGATGTATGGTAGACGCAAAATGAGAAGATGATATGAGGGAGGGAGACAAGATGGAAAAACAGAATACAACACTTCTGTAGCAGATGTGCATTAGACGTAATTAGAAGAAAATGATGGGAGGGAGGGAAGGGGAGGGCAGAGCAGGGAGGTGAGATCGATGGAACAGAATATGACACTTCTGTAGCAGATGTGCAGTAGACATAATGAGGAGAAAATGATGGGAGGGAGGGAAGGGCAGGGAGGCGAGATTGATAGAACAGAATATGACACTTCTGTAGCTGACGTGCTGTAGACACAATAGGAAGAAATGAACTTTTCTGTGTGCAGCTGGAACAGGTAATATAATACAGCCATTGGGCAGTTAAACACTTATACACATCCAAGTAGGAAGATACGACTCCAAAATGCAAACTCCCATCACTCGATATTTAAATGTCCTTCATAGAGAGATTCTGAAGCCAACATGCAAACTCACGCCATTTAATGTCGTTCACCTTATACAAAGCTATGACATACACAATCAGAATTTCAACTATGAAATATTCTATCATAAAGAAATGGCAGAAAGTTGTTCATTGAATATATCCTTTTCATCACCAGTTCCCTCTTTTCATCACTAATTCACAAAATAGTCCTGTTTATATTCTGCACTTTCCTTCAGAAGTTTGAGACAAAAATAGCCATAGTTTTCGAGTAAAAACTGAAAATTTACTCAAATTTTGTCTGTTGGCTTCAAAATTAGGGTTCATTTACTGAAATATTTAAGAGTTATAAAACTGGCGGTGAAAAGGACATATGATATGTACATATTATAAAACACTGGCAAGCATGTATAACATTATCTGTATTGGGAATCAAAGGGTCCATTTCTACAATTTGTCATAATTCCGTTCACTCCGATTTGGTAGCAATTGTTCAGCTGGTCAGGTTTTTATTTATTCCAACATAAGATTGCACACAACTCCCAATATGCAGTCAATCACAAGTGCTGTGTAATGATACACACTGTATGTTAGTTTGTGACCTGAATTATCATGGGTGTGTAATATTTTACTAGAAGACATTGAATGAAAAGCGATTTTGAAGCACTACATTTGGCGTTTCGCGCTGTGTTCGATATAGGTTTATAGAATCTATATTTCCACATGAACCAAAAATTGTATTTATTATATGCTGGATTATTAAAATATGCTCTTATTGACATAAATGTACATTTTCAGTTTATCAGTCATCAATTTACGATAAATCTTCTGTGACAAATGTCATGTTGTGTTTACCATACACAAGCAGATAACATAGTTAACAACGTTGGGTCAAAACAACAGCATTGAATGATCCAACTTGAAATCAGTCTAAACTATACCCTCTTACTAATAAAAATGCAATATGCTTCAAGTATTAACTTTTTCTTTTATAGGTTTAATATTAAATAGAGCATGAATGGTTTGTCAGATAATAAAAAATCTGGTTTGGTACATTTATCTATCATAGGTAATTCTAAACACACACATACAAACATACACAATTACGGTATAACAATTTCTGCAAACAAATTATCCCTCTATTGCTTCTTAAACACACACACTCACTCAAATGCAAATTATTTGTCACATTTCTAAACAGTGTTAATAATTATGTCAAGTGAATATAGAATATTACAAAGTTTCAGCAAATACAAAATGTTTTTTTTTAAATGAAAAATTAAATACACACACATGTTCATCCATAAAACCTTCCACACAACTACCACAATCACACGAGTTATTTCCATCAACTACAAACAAACATAGAAAATACACAATAAGCAGGGAAGCAATCCCTGCTTGAAAGTCTTCCATGGTAATAACAGAAATGTCAATCCACAAAATCACCTGATACTACTTCAGGTGTAGAAAATCACAGACTGAGCTCATGAATGTTGATATAACCATTATTCTGCAAAACGGGAGTATGAAGCATGGAGAAAGGTGAGAAGTCTGAAGGCGAACACCAATGATATTGGAATACCGATTTTGCATATAGAAGAGCCAATCAGATATCATTTGCATACTCAGGAACATTTACATGTAACATGTCTATATTAACCTAAATATGGTGAGGTATATAATGTGGTTCAGTGATATCTGAGTACCATTGCATGCAGATTGCTGTCTCAGTGCTACAAACTAGGCACTGTGATAAATAAATCAAATATATCACCCGCAATTATACCCCAAAACTAGTAAGACTACTTACCTTCCAAGAATTTCCAGTAATTCCCCAACCCCATTGAAATGTTCTGTCTCATATATAAACCTAGAAAAAAAACAGTTAAGTAGCATGAAACAAAATTACATTTATCAGCTATCCATATTGTTCATATTAATGATGATGCTGGATAGTGTCTTTCGGACAAAAAAAATTGTCGCTAGTCAATCAAATGGCAAGGAAACGAGACCAATTGACATGCTTACATGTATGTACATCATCAAGTCCTGCCTTTGTAGCAAATATAAATACAAATCAAAGAATGTTTGACTACCATAGGGACGGACAGACGGCAGACAGACAGACAGACAGATCCCAAATACAATTCATCTTTGGATTATGTTGAGATGGGAATTAACAAGCATAATAAATATAACTGTTTATATCAAGCCAAAGAGGTATTCCATCAAAATAAATTAAATATGTCAACTTACTTAAATTATTACTATTAAAAACAATGACAGGAGATGTATGTGATTAAAGCAAAGAATTTAATCTAGAATTGACTGAGCTAATATTCCATGAAATTTATTTGATCACTACAGCGAAATTATAAACCTTGACAGACAACCATTTATTAAATTGAATCATCTGTAGGAAAGATCAAATATCATATTAAAATGAGTTATGCTTGTCAAAGTGTTCTAGATACTGCGTGATGGTTTATATTCTTAAAGCAATGCAGCATTGACTGGAGGATGGGGACTGTCAAACTGTGTTAAATCACTGCTGACGTAATGGCCACTTCCTCTTAGTCTCGCCGCATTTTATAAGAATCCAAAGGAAAAGAGTTCATCTGACAACTGAAACATATTTTTTAACAGGGATGATATTTTTCTGCCTGTAATATACCTGTTTTTTTTTTTTTTTTTTTGGGTCTTGTTCATCTATCACGCTTGGAGAAAGACTAAAAGGGCATTGTACACCAAAGTGGAAACTAGCAAGTAATGAAACATTTACGAGAGGCTACTTCATTACCTGCACAAATGCCAGCTCCAATTTCCCATTTGTGGAGTTTAAAGCAGAAAACTGATCAGGGTGAGCTGATGAGGTTTTTTTTTTATTGTGCAGTTCATCGACTTCAACTGGTTCAAAATTTGTTTTCACCTGACAAAGAATATCGCCTGCTAGTAATTTCAATGCAGTCTCTAGAATACGTTGGCGATTGTTCTAAAGCCCCACAAAGCAATACTAATAACTCCAAATAATTTTTTTTATGAAATCATGTTCAGAATTTGCACATCAACAAACAGAATGGCTCACAGTGGTGATAGATCTTATTGTTGAAATGAAAGCCTAGATACTGTCCTGGTCTGATAAAACTGCAATCGCCCCAGGGAGTCATGAAGGTAGGACAAATAAATTCAAGCAGCCCAGCCACCACCTTGAGTATTAAAGTAACAATGAAAAAAAGCCAGAACTCTTGAAGACTTGCACGCTGTAAAAGCATTACCGGTAGTTGTGAAATTAAGTGAAAAGAGATTCAATGAGAAATAACCTGATTTAAAGCATAAAAGACATAGTTTACTGCCTCGAGACTAAACGCCGCTACTTGTGTTATATTTTGTACATCATTATTTTTTAAATCAATTGATCATCTTACTGAGTATTAAAGCCATGGCAAATCAAATCTCTGCTTCCCATCCAACATAAATTAGCCTTTTTTTTCAAATAGAAACTCAAGTGGGACATACACCATATGTAAACAATAATTTTTGTAATTCATTCTTCTCGCATGTAATGGTATTGACTACCCACAGCGTGGAATAACAAGTAATTGCAAACTACTGCGGTATCAGGTTTTCTTAAATGTAATGCAAGCCAATATTGAGTTCAGGACCATAAACGTTGCTAATAAAGGTGATTCTACAGTTAATTAACTGCACACAACCCAGTTTGGTTTGAACTGCAATCTAGTTATCATAATAATTATTTACTCTGTCATTAACTAGAATTGGATGTGACATGGTGGCTCAGTGGGAGAATTGCCATGGGCTATAATTAGGCATATTGTTATGTTGTAATTAATAACACAGTATTCCAAACAAAACTCAAGGTTTTATTTTACATGAAATCTGTACATTCTCATCTGTAGTTTCACCCATGAATCGGTAATATTGCTGTTTACAAGGAATCTGGATGGTTTAATTATACATTATAGGAATGTGACAATACTGTTTCAGCAACTATAATAACGAAAATATATTTTTCCCCGACGAAAAACAATTGATGATTTCCAAGAGTTTATTCCATTTCCATCATAAGAGATGGATATGATAGAAGGGAGGGTCCCTATACTTCCTGCTTAACTGTATGCATGAATGTTTACATGAAAAATAAAGCCCACTAATACTAAGCTGCTTCTGTAGATGTGAAACCATGGATATCAAATTTACTTTATATGTTTAATTTTTCAACAAAATGTGATAGTCAGTCCTGACGTCATACACGTTTATTTTAGACAGTTTTGTGCAAACAGGGTCAAATGTTTTTAAAAGGATGATGTTGCAATACAGTTAATTTGCACACATCAATGTAGCGCCATATTGAATTTTTACCACACTATATGCAAACTTTTAAACAGTATGAATCATGCCCTCACATGGTAGAATGGAATGTTTTAATTAAATCTGAAAATACAAGTTATTACCAATGACTTGTACAGTGAAAACTGAAAGACTACACAGAGCATGACTGAAATTATTAAAAGACCAATCCAGTCATATCCAACGAGATACAGGTGTAAATACAAGCACAGAGGTGAATCAAGCATAGGAAGCATGTATGTCACGGCGCAACCAAGTCCATGATTTTAACTTACACCTGAATTTGAAACTAAAAATGACACGTTGACTTTTCCAGGTTACAGTAACATCAAATATATTCCCAGTAAATGAAATTTACAAGAAGGAAACACAGTATCGGAAAATCATCAGCTATATAATAAATGTTCATAGTAACAGTAGAGTAGAGATTCAAAATATACCAATTACATTAACCTCAGACTAATAATAAATTATTCGTCTGAGCATTAACACTAAGCAATGTTATTAAAATATGAGACATACTGTCTCTCAAGACTTAAACTCACCTTAGAAAAATATTACTAATTTGTTTTCTGATGAAGGCCCTGAGCCCCAAGAATTTGCCATAGATTCGATGTAAGATGGTCTTTAAGAAGTCTCTCTCACGTGGGTCTTCACTATCGAACAGTTCCAACAGCTGAAAATAAGGATGGAAAATAACGTCTCAGTTTACATCGTACACAAATTATTATTTCTCAGAGATTAATAATTGGATGCTTTTATCTAAGCCAGTTTCATTCTGACACAAGCATATTGCCCCGAAAAAACACACAAATAAAATGGCAGTCAGTTGGTAAACTATGATAGAATGACTGCAAAAATCAACCTGAATCTTTAAAAACAATGAATTGCCTCCGTACCAAGTTTGGATAAACTTATTGACTGGATTCTCAGTTGTAAGGTAAAATGATAAAAATAAGCATTTTTTGACGTACAAATTGGTCAACAATGTGCCTAGTCGAGGGCTAAGAAAAATGACACCATTATTGTCAATATAAAATGGATATCCCATGTAGTCTAGAACACTGCAGATTAAGGCATGTGGTTATTTGAATATGCATCAATATTAACCAGATAACCAAAGCAAATCCAAAAAGATGTTGTAATCTAGTCCGCCTTGGTAAAGACAAAATATCACTGTCACAACTAGAAACACTCTCGTTCCTGCCTTGTGTAAAGCTTTGAAACACTAGTCAATTAAATATACAGTACAGCTAACTCATTAATTTTTAATGATTACTCAAACATGTTTAATAAATAAATCACATGTTTAATAAATAAATCACAAGTTTACTCGCCCAATGAAATACAAACACATACAAATATTGAGAGAAGCAAATTTATTGATTTTCACATAGCAATGATTTTCTTTTTATTACTCGGCAAATGGTCAGTAGCAATAGCAGAGGGGTTTGCAAAATTAGAGATAGTGACATGAAAGCAGCCATACAATACATTACGTTATATAATGTATACTTATAAGTATCTTATCTATCAATAATGATTGTAATCGTTAATGCTATAAATAACTGTTTTTGATAACAATTCCCGAGAGCATGTAGAGATTTATATAATGACGCATGATCAGAAAAGATGAGAATTTCAGAAGCCTGTGGAGGCTCCACAACAATCTCTGAAGTGTGTGTAATAAAGCGCATCGCAAATACTGACATTTGTTTGTACAGAGGCAGTGAGAGTTCTCAGTTTCTATGCAAGATGTTGTAAATCAGTTGCAATGCATAGCATTAAGTACATAAAAGATGGCGGCTCCTCTATGCAAACCCCACTGAGTACTGCCTACTTGTTTCATTTCACTCGCGCTTTGAGCTTGATGAAATTTTCAAGGACATTTGTTGGATGTTATGGCAACAGACAGCGTTTCAACGGTATCAATAATATGCAAAGCACAGCTGCCAGTGACATTCTCAGAGGCAAAACCGTAGTGTTGCAAATTTCTCAAGAAAGTAACATATCAAGTAAAAAAGGGCAGGATTAGGACTCACCTGTAGTACAAATCTCTGATCAATATACTTTTTTGCTATGCTAGGTTGGAAGTCGGGTGATTCCAAGAACCGAAGAAAAAATTCATATACAATCTGCAAAAAAAAAAAAAGCATATTATTTTGAAGTGGTGGATGAGTACCGTAAATACTCCGAAATTTCGACCCCTCTAAAAATTCGGACGCCAAATTATTTGCTGGGTTTCGGTATTTTATTTACCTCCAAATTTTCGACTCCACTAGAAATTGCTGACTCATTCTTATTCGAAAATTTCGACCAGTTTTGGTTTTCCCCCGAACGAAAAAAAACAACAATGTGAGCGTCCAAACGGGACTTTCCCCGAAGGCATGAATCCGGGTTTCTGATTGACTGAGAGATTTTTATTTTATTGGTAACGAAACACACATCTTCTACATAGAAGCTAATGATCATGGTTGCAAAATCCGGTCATGCTGCGTTTCTGAATTGTTGATTATTACTCAGTAGTGATTATAATAATGTACACAAAATAAATTCGTTGAATTGTTATGAAATACAAATAAAAGTCAACTTAGTTTCATCGTAAGCGAATGATTCCGGTCTCGTATAAACGTTCGATGCTGTAGGATATCCGCCATGTTCTTTTAGGTCAAATAGGTCAGATCGCTAATTAACCAATCAAAAAGCTGGATGATGCCAACGTGTTCAAATTACCATAGCTTATTTAAATATGTTAATGCTATTGAACGCAATGCGGAAGAGATTGATGTTGTAGTACGATCTTTTGGCTTGGATTTTGATGCAAAAACGGCATGATTTTTTTTTAAATCAAAAAATTAGTTGTTTTCAAAAAATAAACTGGGCATTTGAAGAATAATTTAACATTGTTTACAGTGATAACAGCTCATTGTCGAAACGAAGTTTACCCGTTCACGCTAGTCACGATAAAAATCATACTCTTGAATAGACGTCAATGACTATGGTAAAACTTTAATTTTAGTCGTCAGGAATGATTGAAATGTCTGAAAAATGACGCCAAAATACACCTTAAAGGTCCCATTTTATTTTCTTAAATCCCATTTTATTTTTTAATCCAAGGGCGAATTTACGGCAGAATCTGGTCCCTCAAATAAGGGATACGTGAGCTTTGATTCTAACCGGATACATTGCACTGGGTCGGGGAGATAGTTTGCTAAACTTCCATGTATCTTTTGTCCAATGGGTACCTGTACTTCGAACATTCGCAAGTTTTCCTAGGTAGTGCGAGACAGCTTTGTCTTTTGACCTATACGTTTTGTGACCTCTTCTCCGCGTCTTGATGTTTTGTTTACCTTGTCATAATACTCACTGATTGATGACTTTGTTTTGATTTTGAGTTGTTTAGCCTACAACTCGGCCACGACCTTTGCTTATACCGTGAAACATGGGGAAGTTTACGCCAATTGACGGACATTACATTTTTTAAAAACTAACGAAGCACACTGTCTATCATCCCCATTTTTTTCATTTGCTGATTTCTATTCTGAAAAATTTGACCGCCCAAAAATGCACCTTAATTTTGACTCTAAAAACACGCCGCATTTCCAACACAAAATTATTTAAAACCGGTCGAAATTTTGGAGTTTTTACGGTAGTATGGATTTTTGTAGATCTATGAACATGTCAGTCAAATTCACATATCCAACACGATGAAAAGGTCATTTCAGAATGGAAGCTTTAGCTTAGTCTGTGGTACATACCTGAAAGCACTAGAATGCGATTAGTTTCATTTTACAAATTTTTTTGCACTTTTCATCCAATGATGTGTCGTGTTACAGACTGTCTTGGAGAATACACCAGGCAATTTTGTTTCCAAATAACATACATAAGTCTAGGGCAATTTTTCAAATATTTTACCTTCTCTCTCTCTCACAAGAATTATTTCAAAACAGGTCACGTGACTAACCTGTAAATGTGGCCATGAAGCTTCTAACGTAGGGTCATCTTCCTCAGGATCAAAGTCGGGGTTATCACTTGGGGGCAGTGTCCGAAAAATATTACAAGCAATCTATGGAGAAAAGGAAATAATATTGGACATGGTCTTAAGTCACAGTAAACATTAGTGATCGAAATTCCACAAATGTCATTAAAAGTCATTAGAAGATAAGATCCTAAAATTAACAAAACAAATGTTTGTCACATACATAGCTACATAAAAATAAACACACTTCCAACAACAGCTCTGCCATGATGTTCTCCTTATTGTAAGTTTGATCTGGAGGGAATACAATACAATAGAATATAAAGAATACTAAAATATCTAAACAGCTAAACATTCGCTGCTTTAAACTTTCACAATATGATACAACTTAAGGGCGTTCATGAATAATTTCAAGAACAGAAAATGAATAGTGCACTGCAACATAATTTCACAATTTTCACGAGTTTGTCTCTTGGAAAATGAAAGCTGTTTACAAAACTCGTAGGGTGATCTGCATGTGCGTCTCTTCAATGCATCTTTAAAAGCTATAAGCCCGAGACGAATTGCAATGCATGTACATATTTGTATGGAATGATTGAATACATGTAGTTAACTTTATTGTAACATGTAGAGACTGCTGATCTTGTGTATGTTGCCACACGTTGCCAAGAAGCAAAAGCTGACCCATCTACTACATCAGAATTCAATTGACAAGAATAGTAAAATACACCCAAATGCTGAATTATCCCCCATATGAAACAAGTACATAGCATAATTAAGTATTCACCACACACTGTCATACTGACCAAACATCCAACATCAGATATCCAGTTCCAGGATCTAGATATCAGTCAGCTGTATCAGATATACATGTATATTTAATACTATTTGCATCAAATATACAAGTATTAAGTTTTAAAATTGCAACTTTATTCATAATTTCCAACACAAATTTCATCAACCTGCCAAATATTAGTCTATATAAATATTCTATAAATATCCCACACTAACAATATAAGGTTATTCACCTCTTTGGCAGTTATTTTTATATTCCATATGTTTGTATTACAACATGTGTCTGCTAAGAGCATTCATTAGGCAATATGGATAACTAAGTGTTTTGGGTCATTTTTAAATTTTATCTGAAACTTCATCTTGATTAAAATCAAAATGTATGATTTATCCTGAAACAAGCAGCCTCTCGGCTGAGATAGCTCCGCTGTTAGCAATGCACATTTCAATTAAAGAACAGAAGATATCATTAGAAAATGAACAATATGCATAATAGTATCAATGCAATGGGACTTGCTGTTTTCAACAAGAATTCAAAAATATCATTTTTCACCATGAATAAATCTGAGAGAGGTCCACATGTAGTACCTATACATGTAATATCAAAGCAATTGGACTTGCGGTTTTTAACAAAAAGTCGAAAATATCACTTTTTACCAAAAATGACAAAAATATTCACCAAAATTAGAGAATTGAAGATATGATAATGAAATGAACAAATCTGAGAGAGGTCTACCCAAGGTACATATACACCAAGTATCAAAGCATTCAGGCTTGTAGTTTTCAAGAAGAAGTCGAAAAAGTAAAACATTGACACGGACGACGACGGACAATCACTCATATGATAAGCTCCGCTCGACAAAGTCGACAGCGGAGCTAATAAAACTGTTTTGGCCGTAAACGTACAGTATACATTTGATCAATGTAAAATGCAAATGAGCATGCACCCCGGATTTTTATCTACATGCAGGTGTTCTAAACACGCAAGCAATAGTACATTTTTATTATTGCATCTAAAATATTATTTTAACCAAAATAAAATATCAAAAAAATATACTAAAAAATATTTAAAGTTATCCCTACATTATATCTTTAAATTTATTTGTTTTTTGTTAAACCAAGACCAACATGGAAAACATTATTGGTTTCCCTTTCCCCAGTACATCACTGATTACTTGAAACATAATAATTTAATTTACCAATGCTGCAATCAATTGTGAAACCAATTGTAAATAAATTTGAATGGTTTATCGTAACATGCAAAACTAATTTGCAATTATGTACACAGCTCCACGGACCAAGAATTCAAATTGAAACACGCAAATTTAATTAATTACCTCTGACATCACAATACACCGTATAACAAATATGGTAATCATTTTTTGTTTTTTCTACCTTCTGCATTTATGAATCTAGTTTCCCAATCAAAATGTTATTAGAACCACTATGTGAATTCTACTGTCACCACCATATTGTCCCGAACACCAAAACAGTGCCAGCTAAGTTGCGCATGTTCAGAACAATATGGTGGTGACATTAAAGGACTATATAGAATGATATTCCCTAGGAATTTGACATTTAATGCATCACACCATTATAATAATACCAGTGTTCATATATCAAATTTTTGTCTGTCTGTTTTTGTAATTGTCGTAAGATGTTATATTGCATGTATTTCATTTTGTATCAAATTCTATTCTATTCAATATATATATCACCTTACATCACTGGTGCACATTATTAGGCGTATTTTCCTACCACCATCTATGCCCCATCCAACACCAACACCTACTCTACTCTACTCTACTCTACTCTGCTCTGCCCCTGTAATGTAGAGATGTACAATGTAAATCCACTTTCAAAACTAAATTGCGCATGTTTGAGTTTAAGAAGTAGCCGATCAAATTAGAGCTGGGCAGTTGGGTCAAGGTTATAACCACACAAGACTATTCAGGAACACCTATGACTGAACAAAGAAATGAACATCAAGAAAGACAGGTGTACACTAGATCAACAGCAAAGACAACGCACACCTATGTACCAGCCCCCAATTCTATTGTATTTTTTTACTTAACTGAAACAGTAGGACATACACATCCTATGTTAACACACCCTCCTTAACTACTGTAAAATACTTTATTTTCTCTGAAGGAGTGATAATTCTATACAAAATACCCAAAAAGTCTTTTCAGCGAAAATTTATCCTTGTAAAATTATTTCACAGCATTCAGATATACTACATAATATACTGCTGAAAACCAAGAGAAATTACAGTAATCCACCAATGTTCTAGGAATATAATTGCTTATTCTTTTTGGCATTTCACCCTGCTCTACCAGACATCCTAAATATGAATGAAACTAACATCTGAATAGCCCACACAAATTCTAAATATAATCCCCCAATTTCTATGTATATGCGCAAATAGTGGTTTGAAAAGAGTACACCTTGCAGAAACGTAGAAATGAATGGTGAAAAGGCTAAAAAGCAAAAGGGGTTTTGATGGCATGACCCAGTTTGACTTTTTTTTTTCTAATGGGTGGTGCACGTCATATGTATAATAATATAGATAAATAGTAATTGGTACCACTCCTTGCTAGCCCTGCTGTTAGGTTTCACAACAGTCTTATAGTGGACACATAGCAACCATACACACAAATGCATTATGCCACAGCAAGCCATGCCACTTAGTTATCAGGTCTGAACACAGATTTAATACTCAAAAACTAGGATAATCAAATAATAAATCAGAATGAAACAATCATAAATAAATTGAATTTATGAATACAATTATTCTAATATTAAAATGCAAAAGGCTGCAGAAAATTGGATATTTCTTCTTTCTTTCTTTTTTTACAAGGAAAGGTCACAATTATTTGTATAACTAGCAGTTTGTTTTAGGAAATATATAAAACCTGGACATGGTTTGTTGCCATGGAAACACTGCATTTTATTCATTGGTTTTACAAATTTCAATAATAAATCATAGATTTTAACCTACATTAACGAAAACAATTCTTTTCTATGGCAACAAATTACTATCTTCAGCAGACACTGAATTTGAGGCAATGAGATGAAAAAAAGGTATCATTCCTATTTTCCTCCATTAAATGCTCAACAAGAACAGGCTTATATTATAAAATTGAGACAAGCGAATAACGCAAGAAACATGATGCTACAGAATTGCCTTGAGATACGTTAAGAAGAGTGCAGATACAAAAAATATTCCAACTCGATAATTTCATTCCAAGTAATTGTTGGCTGAAGCCTTTTATTCATATTCAATTACTTGACAAGATTTTGTGAAAAGTGGTAGAAAATTTGGTTTTTACTCATCTTTTTCAAAATTTCTTGAAGCCACACATTTTAAATCTGCATTGTTAAAAAAAAAAAAGACAGTTTATAATCAGACCACAGTCATTAAAATTGATGAGACGTCTTCAAAAACCTCACGATGACTAATTTTTCCTTTTCCTTCCCAAACCTATTTACTATTACTACCACAGCTGCCAAACATTTTACCATGTTGTCAAATTCATACTAAAATTTACACAAATTTCACATACCACACCACAGGAAGATAAATCACACTTCTTGTAAATGTGGCGTCATTTCAAGCCAAGCGCCACTTATGTGGGCGAATCTAAGCAGATACTATTCATCACAAATGAACTAAAAATTTCTTAGTCATTAGTACATGCATGGCAAAGCAAATTGCATGTTTAACATTAAGAACAAATTGATTAAAATCTGCTTCACACTCTGTATTGATACTAAATTCCTCGTACCACATCATCAATGGAAATCGCGTTCAAATCTGGACCTGTGTAACAGACATCATTCACGAAATAATCGACATAATTTAGTACAGTGCTGGTTTACAAACACAACTGTCCAATATAATACACATTTTAGGTCATCCCCTCAGATGCCTGTAGATTAGCTTCTAGTGAGGATCGCAAAATGCAATGACTATTGACAAGCTGGTTGGATGCACGATCAGCTAAATCAATGCTTGGCAATCACCTTAAGCAGTGGCCCTAGGGATAAAACAGAACAAACCAAACATAAAACCTGATTATTCCATGCAAATTATCAACCTAATCTGACTTTCTTGCCAATTTGAAATGAAATCCAATCGGTCTTGGTCGAATAAAGGACATTAACACATTTAATACTTGCAACAAAATGGTCAGCAATTTGGATCACATTGTAAAAACATGGCCAACTCTGAATAAAAATTGATCAGAATACTTATGCAAAGCAGCTCATCCTTATTTATTAAATGTATAGTCTTTGATGTCAAATTTACTCTATGAATTGCACAACCCCATACAAATGGATGGATATACTCCTACATGTATACTACGTTCACACAACAGTGTTTTATTGGAGCCCTACGGCTTGAGCAAAAATAGCTGTGTATTCGGCGTTCGAGCCAAGCTCGGCTCCAATAACCCCTTGGGTTGAACTCCG